AAAATATGGGAAAAAATACTTTTGTTGTAATATGATGAAGGTAACTTAACTATTCTGCCGATGAGGTAGACCTTTCAAAATGTTAGTTTGCAATTCGTTGGACATATCATCACTACTTTTCTCCCACAACCCCACAATTTTCATGAAATGTGTAACAGTGTAACAAATTTAGATCATTTATATCAAGATGAGGTCAGTTTGTGACCTAAATCAAGTTACATTTTATGGAAAAAAAAAATTAGGTCATAAATTACTCAAATCAGGTTATAAAACCCAATTTCGATCATACCCAAATTAGGTTACAAAACACTATTCATGTAACAAATTACCCCAAAACTTAAATCAATATGTCACACGCAATTCTAGATTTTGCTGTTAAATTATATAGACACATGTTAACCAAACCGTATATCACCTATATTTAGCCAAGTTTAATACTTTCTAAATTGATAGAAATTAAGTCGATTTTACAATAGCATTTACCAGAAGAGAAAACTGAATCAAATTTGTTCATCTAAGACTTCAAATTCATCTGTTTAACCCAAATACGAACATAACAAAAGTTCTAAATAGCATAATACGTGTCAATACGTTTCGATCAAATATCAAGCATTACAAGAATATGCGTGCCTATGCGAAGCATATGCATAATTAGACACAAATATCAGCTTAAAAAATCCTAAATTTTTTCTAATTCTATCGAATTTCAATTCAACTCTTTTTCATTCAAGTCTCTTCCATATCATCCTATGTAAATTTATCTTTATCAAGTTCCCATATTTCAACTAGAGAACTTCTATTACCTCTCGTAGATGGGGTAGAATATCATTATTAACCTCATTCTCATCATCATAATTACTACAACTTTAAGGTTGCAAACCCAAGTGCAGGTTGTTGCAAGTAGTAAACTCGGAAGTCCGAGATCGAACCACAGGGAATTGGAAGGAAATAAATCATTCTATGAATGGTAAATGGTTGGTGGAAATACGATGAAAAAGAATACTAGAGCGTTGGGAATTCACTTCGGATAAATGGGTAGAAATTGTCCTTGATCTTTTATTTAACTCATATGGAAATCAACTAAGGAGTGATCTCATATGGAAGATAAAACATTGATCGCAAATATACTAAAAGATAGATCTTGAAAGTTGTTTGAGAGAATATGTCAAAATAAGTTGTTGGAATGTAGAGATTATATAAGCATTTATTGAGCCAAAATTTGTCAACAATAAATAAAAGTTTTTAACAAATCAAAACCATTTGTAGAACATATACTTCAATCAAGTAAGAAGATGAACATTGAAGAACAAAGTGAAAGATCAAAAACAATACTACACCAGGGCCGGACCTGATGAGAGGCCCAAGAGGCCTCCGCCTCAGGCCCAAATTTTTAAGGGGCCCAAAATTTTCCCCTTTCATTTTTTTTTATTCTTCTTTTTAATAGAGACGGGAGACCAGACCTAGAGACCACCACTTACCTTGCAAAATTCAAAAATCAAAGCCCTTCTAAAAGAGGAAAGTGCAAAGGCGGGCCGCACCGCAGGGGCTACCAACCGACGGCTACAGGCATGAGGCACGGCTCTTTTCTCGCCAATGATTTCAGAAAATCAACAACCCTTTCTACCGACAGTTGCTTGTAATTATTTAATTTATTTCACATTGCGACTGTGCCTGTGCCTCTGCCTGCGCTTGCTGAAACAACTCTTTTTTTATTTTCTCATCTTCATCAATTCATATGAGTAATGCTATGCATTAAGAGAAAATGAAGCTTATAAGTAAATTATAAGCTTAGCCAAACATGCTCTTTCGTTTCAACTGAACCTTTAGTTTCTGCTTTCGCGTTCCTTTCCTCGTAGGCTGTGATAGAGTGATGATAAGTTTGTTGAGTTGGGTCGGGTATGGAGAATTGGAGAAGCCCTGACTCGTATCTTGGTGGGGCAAATTCAGATGGCATGATTTGCAAATTGCAACTGGATTTTCCATATTTGGGAAGGGTAGAAATGTAGAATTTCTTGCCTCATTCCATTTTCAAAGGGGGCTGTTTTCCCCCCACATCCACTCATTCAAAGTCCAGAAGATTAATTAACTAATCAAGAATAAGGACATGATTAGACATCAGAAATTAAGAGTTTGCTTTAATTTTTCTATTCTTAATTTGTTTAGTAGCTTGAGAATGATATTATTTAACAATATTTATTAGTCAAGTAGGATTTTCTAATGAAAATGCTTCTTCCACTAAACTTATTAGAGATTTGCTATTTTAATTTTAAATATTACTTATCTGTGTAAATTTATTTCTTCTTCACAAATTGTAATAAATCTGTAATAAATCTGAAACCTTATGAATTTTTGGTTGAACTCTAGTTTAATAATCACATTAGACAATATTAATGTACTAATATTTTTGGACCACTTTGGGATCCTTGCAGGCTATTGATAGTTGTTGAGTGACTTGAATCAAATACCATGACTCCTAAATATGCATCTGGAGCTCAAAAAAAGAAAAAGAGAGAAAGAGTAGAGGCATTAATTCGAAGCTAGAATGGAGATATGGAGAAGTACTTTAATAACAAGAAACAAAAAGAGAAGGAAGCAATACCAAAAAATTTATTGATTGAGGAACAACAGAATCAGAATGATAATGACAATGTGGATGAATGGAAAGAGAATGAGGAAATGATTGAACCTGCCAATGTGGATGAATCAAAGCAAAATGAGGCAGATAATATTCAACATAAAGATTTAAATCAAGAGAATTGCTTTTCTTTGAATTTTGAAGATCCTGGAAATTGGAAGGACATCCACATTGATCAAAAGACGAGGGACTTTTTAGTTGAAATAGGTCCAAAAAGAGTTGATGGCATCTTATTTCCCAAAGATAGTCAAGGTAGACATTTTGAATCGTCACACTATAAGCGGCTACTTGCGAATGGGCAGATAACTGATAGAAGATGGTTAGTGTATTCCATTTCTTTAGACAAGATATTTTGTTTTTGCTACAAGTTGTTTAAAACAGAAAGAACGATGAAAAGTATTGGTCAATTGGGTAATGAGGGATATAAACATTGGCATAATATGCATCGTCGCCTTACAAATCATGAAGTGTCTAAGGAGCATATAAGCTGCATGACTAGTTGGATGGAACTAGAAAATAGGCTTCAAACAAAGCATACAATTGGCCATCAACAAAGAAAGAGAGCATTGGAGACAAGTACTAACGAGGATAATTGCTATTGTTAAACGATTTGCTAAAAATACTTTGGCATTTCACAGAGATTGTGAGCAACTTTACGTGGCGAACAATGGACTTTTTTTGCAAATGATAGAAATGGTTGCTGAATTTGATCCAATAATAAGAGAACACATTCGACGTGCTCAAGCACATGAGATTCAGTATACATATCTTGGTCCTAAAATTCAAAATAAATTAATACAAACTTTAGCAGGCGAGGTGAGAAGTGCAATTGTCACAAAAGTAAAACATGCAAAATATTTTTCTGTCATACTTGATTGTACTCCAGATGCGAGTCATGAGGAGCAAATGTCTCTAGTAATACGATGTGTGGATGAATCAATGGACTCTTCAATGGTACAAGAATATTGGATTGAATTTTTGAAAGTGGACGATACATCAGGATTGGGACTTTTCACTGAACTTACAAATGTGTTAACGAATCTTGAGCTTGATGTTGACAATATAAGAGGTCAAGGGTATGATAATGGAGCTAACATGAGCGGGAGACATAAAGGTGTACAAAAAAGGTTACTTGAAATAAATCCTAAAGCTTTCTATACTCCATGTGGTTGTCATAGCCTGAATCTAGCATTACGTGACATGGCAAATTGTTGTTCTAAAGTTATGTCCTTCTTTGGAGTGATACAATGCATCTATACAGTGTTCTCTTCTTCTCCCAAACGATGGAAAATTTTTAAAGATAAGGTTGAAGGTCTAACATTTAAGTCATTGTCCCAAACACGTTGGGAAAGTCATGTGGAAAATGTCAAGCCTATAAAAGAGCAATCTGTACAAATAAGAGACGCTTTACTTGACTTGGCAAACATTGCTGAAGATCCTAAAACAAAGAGTGAAGCTGAGTCATTAGCAACATATGAACTTGAAAATTTTGAGTTCTTACTTGGTATGGTTATTTGGTATAAGTTGTTGCATGCTTTCAATACCGTGAGTAAGTTTTTTCAAGCAGAAAATATGGATATTGATGAGACCATCAAGCTTTTAGAAGCACTTATTTTGTTTCTCGAAAATTATAGAGAATTTGGATTTGCCAGTGCCATGGATGAAGCTAAACAAATAGCAATTGAAATGGGAATTGAAACTGTTTTTCGAGAGAAACGTAATATTCGAAGAAAGATGCAGTGAAGAGGTAACACTATTAGCTAAAGAATCTTTTCGAGTTGATTATTTTCTCTTTATAATTGACCAAGCTCGATCTTCACTTCAAACTCGGTTTGAACAATTTAAACATTATGAAGAGACATTTGGATTTTTGTTTAATTCGGAGAGATTAAAGAGTATGGATGTTAACAGTTTGTTGAAATCTTGTAAGAATCTTGAGCAGTATTTGAGCCATAATGGACATTCAGACATTATTGGTGATGACTTATGTACGAAGTTGTTAGTTTTGAAGTGCTATTTACCTGGAGAAACAAAAAGAGCAATTGATATGCTAAATTACTTGAAGAAAATGAACGGTTGTTTTCTGAATGCTTGCATTACTTACAAGATTTTGCTCACTATACCGGTTACAGTTGCATCGGCAGAAAGAAGTTTCTCCAAATTGAAATTGATCAAGACTTATCTTCGATCAACCATATCGCAGCAAAGATTGAATGGATTGGCTATGTTGTCCATTGAAAAAGAAATGGTTGAACAACTCGACTATACAAAATTGATTGATATTTTTGCCTCAAAAATCGTAAGACAAGTTGTATTTAAGTGATGGTTCAGAACATTTTCTTATACATCTTTGTATTACTATTTGATTATAATATAAATATTTTGAATTTCGTTTTTATTTGTTGCTTTATTATGGATTTTATGTTAAAAATTTAGTTCCTTAAAACTATTATAAATAATATGAAAAAAAAATCATTGTTTGCTATGAAGTAGGGGCCCGAATTCTGAATCTCGCCTCAGGCCCCGCGAAACACAGGTACGGCATTGTACTACACATTCACTAAAGTTTCACCCTTAGCTCTAGCTAATGGTTTAGAAATACATAATAAAATGTTACAAAGAAAATGAAGGAAACTAGAATATGATGGAGAGGAATTGATGCTCTCAAAATCTTGGCCAAGGTCCTCTTTTATAGGCAAAGGAATATCCAAAATGCAAGTGGACAATGCAACTTGTTTCTGTCCAGCTTCAAGACAGCTGAAATATGCAACTTGGTGCCAATTTTCAAATTCTTTGTACAGCGAATTTGGGCTTATGATCAACAGATAAATTGTTGCCACTTGAGTTAGCTTTCCATTAGTACAAATATCAAGTTCATTGGATCTCTGTAACTCCAGATATAACAAAAATAATTAGTGTTGCTTCACAGGTTGAAAAGCTGTATCCGGTAGGTAATATGCTGGACTTTGCACGGTAATTTTGACTGCCTTATGTTGCGAATTTAACTTCTTGGTAAACATGAAAGTTGTAGATACATAACTTATCTTTACAAACCAACTTGAATCACCTGGTTCAATGTCTGCAGCTCAAGTTATGATCATTTTACTGACAGCTGCTTCTTGCTTAAGACAGTTTACTATTCTTGACTTTTCAACATTTTTTCCACTTACTCCACTTGTTCTACCTTAGAAATACATGTGAAATACATCAAATAAATACTCTTTCAAAAGTATAATACTCATGCCGACATGTATTTAAATACGTATTTCGATTTATTGCATTTTTAACCATATATTTATGAAAATTGAATTTATGGCAAGAGAATTGAAATTAGAGACTAACATTAGTGTTTTTAAACAAAGTGAATGTAAAATGCCTTGTAAATTATATATCTTTAAAGCACTTTTAGACAATAATCAATAATCATCAATAATCTAATATTGTTCATTAATAATATTACTTGCTAGTAAAACTAGAGAGATCGAAGAAGAAAAAGGTACGAGACAATTCCATGAAAAAATTGTTTTGATTTATCGTCTGGGCATTTAGTCTTGTATATGTAGTCAACGAAATGAGTTGACTGCATTATCGTGCACATACATCACATGCGAGGCGTTTTAAAAATGAATGAGCATATATGCGCATTTTAGAACACTGCACATAATTAAGATGTAAATCACAAATATTCAACAAAATTATTTTCTAGATATTTAAATATTAAGTGATTTTTATAATGACATATAACAACAGCAAAAGAATAATCGAATAAAACCTGTTCACCTAGATTTCAAGCTCAGATATTAAATCAAACAAAATCACTATTATAAAATCGAATTGATATTTTAAGTTAGACAAAAATTAATCAATACCATCAAAAAAAACCAAACCCAACCTATTCACCAAAAATTTAAGCCCATGTTTGTCATCTTTTAACTAATTAAATTGTTTGCTACAGTAACATTTTTCGCCACACATTCACACAATAAAATATTCTACACATAAACTAATAAAATTTCACTAAATTTCAATCACGCATTCTCCAAAAAATACTATTCAAAACACTATATTTTCTCCCATAATGGGAGACAAACAAGCTCTAAGATTCAGTCCTTAAACCAAATAAAATCACTAATATTAAGACAAGATTTCTATCTCTTAGGTAGTTAAAATTTAAGATCATACCCAACATACCTATACACTACAAAAAAATGCTACTTCAGTGATTATCGAAGGTTGAAGAAAGAGATATTATAGAGAGAGATGATTGTAAGGGCATGGGGTGAGATAATTGTAGAGAGAGAATGAGTGGAGCAACTATGGTAAATCTATTTTGAAAAGATTTGAATTAATATTAGATAATATTAAAATCGTTTCCGGTTTTAATTCTGTATTAATTAATTTAATTAAACCTTATTGTCACTTGATTTATGAAAGTATACCACCTTATTTATTATTATTATTATTATTATTATTATTATTATTATTATTTTGAATTGTATAGGTTTGGACTAATTTTCCTAATGTATAATTAAGTACGTAAATTTCTAGTCCATTTTTACTAAATAATTTACTATTTAACATTGTAAATATTATAATTATGTTCTAGCTATATATATATAAAATTTCATTTTAATCTTATAAGATAGAAATATTTTAACTTCTTAATCAATACTAAATGGTAAAACATCTACAATTGTAACACATGATTCATTCCCTCCATAAAGATGAGAATATAGTACATGAATTCATTGATTATAGGTACATAATATAAAATAACTAATAAAAGAAAATAATAGAAAGATCAAACATGATAATACCTTTTTAACTCTTATGAATCATCAAATGCTTTTACCTTATCCAAATATTGAAAAATCACTTTAGGCTCTTTGTTACTATGCAATCAATTTTTAGAGCAAATTACCATCTCAACCATATTTGCACCAACAAACTTCTAAAGGAATTAAGAATTCGACAACTAGCAGGGAAAGCAGAATAAAAAATAATTGTGAATATTAGAATAGCTAACACATCTTTAACAATTTGGAGGGACAATCTTGTATTTATTTACATTAAATATTCACAAATGCAATATGTCAAAAGGTTCGTTGATCAAATCTTCAAAATGACGATTAAGTAATCCACCAAATATTCTAGCAATGAACAGTAAAAATTTAGAAACTAAGCCTCTATTTGGTGGTCATTATTGTTTAAAAACGATGTTTTAAATAGATTTTTTTTTTGAGAATGTGTCATTAAAAAGCAAGAAAAGGTTTTCTATACGTGCAAAATATTCTATTGTGTGATTGTGTGGTTAAAAATGAGTATAAGAAATAAATTGTACGTTTTGTTTTAAAAGGGGTCATACAGGGACTAAATTAAATCTAGATGATTAATTAAGTGATCTGACCAGAAAATTGAGACTCAAATAAATAAATAAATGTTGTCAGCTAAATGTTTAAAGAAGCCCAACACAAATGAGAATAAAACAACAGAACTAGCAATAAAATGTAGCTAACAATTACCAAAAAAATAAGAAAATTGGATAAATTGACCTGAAAATTTAGTTAAAATCCGAAAAGAAAAAATATCAATAGAAATATGTGAATTTGAATTAAAATTAAATTTAATTGTCTACTCAATTATAATGGGTGGTCGATGACTACGGTTCATCAATAATTGTTCAACACTTTACTCAATTTGACGATTTTGCATTCATAATTGTGATGACGGATGGGTATTTGAGTACAATTTAATTAATTAATTGGAATGTATAATTGTCTATTTAGATATTGAGTTTAATTTGATTACATCTGTATGAACATATGTTTTAACTATGTATTTAGTTTTAATTGAGTTTGAGAAAATTTAAATTAATTTATTTTTAGATTTATTATTATTATTATTATTATTTTGGCAAACGGTTTGAAAATTTAATATGGTTTACAAAGATTAAAACCTAAATCAAACCATTTCGAAGCGGTTTCATTTGGTTCAAAATCAAAACATTGATCGATCCACGTGAACCCAAACCAATGACTCCAAAAAATGGTGTTGGTTCAATTTTATGATCTTTTAGTTTCATTGTTTTGCCCTAATTTGTTCTGATTAGTCAAAACTTAGAAATAATTAAATATTATTTTAAAGTACTACAATTTTTTTTTTCAAATTTACGTTTTTGAAAAGTATGGGATTTGTCAATTATTCAATGTTATCTAAATCTTTCAAATCCAAGTAAGTCTATTACTTAAAACTTTCTATATTCGATTATATAATATATCTATGAAGTTTTAGATTGGTTAAATCTTTATATTTAATTAATGCTCATGAAGAAGCATATATTTTTATTTTGATATATTACTGATTGTGAAGAGCACAAATTTACTATATTCAACATTCTCAAATAAAATAATATTAATAAGTTTCTTCAATATATCACGAATATTCAATGATGTTTATGATCTTGAAGAAGCATAACTAAAAATCATATTTTAGAATTAACAAAAATCTTCAATGATATTAATGCTCCTGAAGAAGTATAATTAAAAATTATATTTATCTAAATGAATGTAGTGTTGAATGTTGATATTCTTGAAAAAACACAACTCATATTATATAAATATTTTAGAAGAATAACATGTTTTTGCTATTGAAAAATATAAAAGAATACATATTTATATTCTTGAGGAATACTTTATTGTGTTATTAAAAAAAGTACAAAATTATACCTATTAATATTTTATAAT